ACTGAATCGCTCTGTGTCCAAATCCCCTAGTCCAGGTAGGTGCGTAACGCTTGGTAGGATGGCCGGAGGTCATCTCCTATCGGTTGATAGGGTGGATAGACTGTGTCCAAGAAGCTGGCCTCAGGGAGGGGGATGGGCCGTTTGACTACTGAGATATCCGTCTGCTCAAAATATTTTGGGTGGAGAATGCTGTTCCGACTCCTACTCGGTCGTTGACCTACAGTGGTCTTCTACTACTAGAAGCATTATGCGGAAGCAATTGTTGTTTACGAGAGAGAGAGAGGTTACTTTGGGAACGTAGTATTTGTTGCGCGTTCGAAACCTTGCTGCATCTTTCCATTTGTGCAACGAAGTGTAGTGACGTTTAGGAAGGGGGTCTGCTCACTTACGTTCGCAGTTGAGGGGCGGTGGTACTCGGGCACAGTTTGAGGTACCCGACACGATTGGACTCGACAGTTAGAAAGGTGTCATTGAAATCTCGAGCCAGAAATGTCGGGAGAAAAATAAATATGTCCCATCAAGCATCTATGCCTTTTGCAAATCCCATTGTTGACCGTTAGATGTAAAATATGAAGTCGAAAAATTCGATGACACCATTAACCCCTGCATTTCAACCAAAGCAAAATGCAAATCCTTTGAAGTAAGAGTGGTGTATCTTCACATCTGTCGCATTACTGATGTTATTGCGATTGTCTCTGGTGATCAGCTTCAGTGGGAATTTGAAGCATCGGGCTAATAAGCGTCCTGTTTCGGAGACAAAATCTTTTTCTTCCTCCTCCTCCTCCTCCTCCTCCTCCTCCTCCTCCCCCTCCTCCTCCTCCTCCTCATCATCATCATCATCATCATCATCATCATCATCATCATCACCATCTTTTCTTCTTATTTTCAATGTTACCAAGTTTGACAGGCAAGGATTAAGTGTATGCGCAGGGTAAGAAAATGCTAACCGTTGTTTAACGAATTCATCAGCGTCCCAACACCCCTGCCTTACTGCCAGACGCATGCATTCAATTTAACAATATTTCGAGTATTTTTTTGACTACTTTGCTGCTCTTCGTGTCGAAATTTTTCATAGAGTGTACTTTCCTCTTACTATAGAATTACGTATTGGGGTGCAGAACAAGGAACCAGTGTAGACATTTTGACAGCGCCGACTCCTCGGGGTGGAGCAGGTCAGCGAATGTCATCCTGCCGACGAAGGAACGACCAAAAACTCCTACTTTTAAAAATATTGTTGACAGTTCTCCATAGTTTTCCCTTACCGCGCGCGCATATCTAACCCTTACCGTCTAACAGAACGAGGTTGTTTGGGGGAGACCATCTGGGGATCTTGTGTTTGCTTTACCGACATTCTGGAGTCATGGAAACATCCATCGTCGCGGAGGTAATGACAGTTCGGCTCACTGTAGTTAAGACCGTTGGTGGTCTTTCTGACGCACCACTGCCCTCCGAGGTCAGTCCTCAAGGTTCGCTGATCAAGTTGGGAGCTGTCGTCATGGTAGCAACTACTTCCCCCTCCGCCCGTCCGTGTTTCTCTAACCTGGGACGTGCGCTCTGTGTTCGCCAAACTCGTGTTATGATGTATTCTTGGCGAAGTGGGCACTTGAAGGGGTCACTCAGACATGCCTTTCTTGATGGATTAATGTGAGGTCAAACGATGTCATCTTCGGAAAACCAGGCGCCTTAGTCTCATACGGACATTTGAATTGCAGATCTGTGAAAGGCACTGTCTGTGCGTTAACAAATATGCATTGGGTGTCTGTGACATGCAGCCAAGCCTTACTGTGCATTGCCTAGCGGTTGAGAGTTTCGTTGGGTTTTTCCTCATCGATTTCGGACGCAGAAGCCATAGTAGGTGTGCTAGGTCATGAAATCTCAACAGAAATTCTGAAATGCCTTTCCGTTTCGAAAAGATTAATTAAGTAGGGTTGTAAAACCAATCATCTTGCAGCATAATTCTATAATACTTCAGTTACCTCAGGATGTCGGCTTTCGAACGAACCTCTTTCCAGCTGCATCCAAAAACCATACTCTGCAACTAATGACTACTTAAGTAGCATGCATTTTTCTCATTGATTTTGATGCCCGTAAAGATTCAATTATATTTCATAGAAAACATATATAAAATATTCATTCTTTTGCTCATTAAGTAGAAAATTACATCTTCTTTTAATTTTATACTCGAAGGAAGCGTATAATTTTGGTTTTATTGGCCATAACGAAATTAAACTGCCCCCAGCTCGCAATTCAACAGTTGGAAAATTCTTTCTACGGTGATGCCGCGGCAGCTAGTTGTCCGGCAAATTTCGAGGGACAGTTTTGATCGGGCTGTCAAAGCACTGATGAAATATTCAGCACCTTGCTCTTACGTTTTGACTTTGCATAGACCATGTGGCATACAATACGGGACTTGTCTCGTGAAACCTCATAACCGGAACTGATGCGAGAATTTCTGGACGCCTTTAACGTTGCGCATTTTGTTCGCCCATCCACATCCTTCAATGAAATGTCCCTTTTCTTGTGCAGAAATTAGGTTTACGTAATTATATCAAGCAAACTATCAATAAATTTTAGCGAAAATGTCCTAACCATGGTGATTAACCTGCTAACGTAAAGGTTATTTTAAGATAACCAGAGGTTTTATAAATTCGCAAATGTCAAATTAGCAGATCTGTGCGATTTGGTGCCCTAAAGTGCAGTAATAACGAAGATAGGGATTCCTTCGTTTAAATGGGCTGACATTGTTTTGACGTTTGGAAAATTCTACCTGATGACACCTAAATGATCACCACCGAATGGTCATTTCCAGCTTTAAACATTTGACACACTACTTTTCTAATATTTTAGCTTCTGTGCATACTTTACTCAGAAATAGAACGAGCAAAGCATTAGTAGTTTCAGCAAGATATCAGGATTTATATGGGCGCTCTGCCGTGCATTCATAATCGAAGAACGGAGTCTAAAAGCGAGCAAAGCAGTGGAAATGGCCTCAATGTATACAGAAAGGCATGTTCTTACGTTTACGGTAGAAAAATATTAGTATGGTTTAGGAACGTGAGAGAAACGGCCAAAAGTATCAAATTTTTACTTGGCCTCACCGTGCAAAAATGCAAAGTACACAGAGATCCGTCAACGGAGTACAGTAATAAGGCACTTCCTAAAGAGATACCTTATTAAGGAAAGTTTACTTATTGAGCAAAGGCATATTCGTTGCAGACTTTCGTTGTGGACAGCCATTTTTCTCGGAAATGATGTTTGATGTTTGAATGAGACTTCGCATGTGACCCAAACGACCATCTTCGTGAAAAAGGAGCGTCCGAACACTCACTAATTCGGTAAATGCCTTCAAGAATAATCTTATTTTAAAGTTCTCAACAGACAGGTAAGTCAGAATCTGTCTTTGTGGACGATCGGGTGAAAACACTGAAAATCATGAAGCATTCAGCAACATTTCGAGGCCGATCTCAAACTCAACGTAATCCAAAACGAACGAAAAGTGTAAATTAGTTTAACGGAAGAAAAGTTCTCTCTATAAACACAAAATGGTATGTTTAAGATCACGCCTGTCAGTTCTATTTAAATTTATTAGGCACCGATCGGCCTTGCAGCGTGTCGCCTTATGAAAAACTTTGTTCCTACGAGGTCCCAATCGGTGAAATCAAGCAAAATCCAGTTTCCCTTGTTGAACCCCATCTCATTTAACTCTAATGAGTCAAGAATAACACGATTCACTGGAAAACTGTTTTGGAATCTACACTCAGAGTGTAGGCAGTTGACAAACTGTCATATATGATACTACACTACATAGTAAACGATATTTATATTTAAACTTCACTGAACCACTATTATTAGACGTTATTTCATTTCTAATTTCATATTTATTACGTTCTTGGTATGAAAATACATTCTATACATTTAAAAACGAAGTTTCCTAAATTAGAGCCATTTCTGACGTTTTCGGGATTTTGCGCTTTTCTAAGAAAATCGACATTTCTAAACAACGCAACACTGCCTTTGATATTTCTTTTATGTTTTTAATTCTTTTAAACTTGTACTTAGTTAACATAGACATTGGACTCATGAAATGGTGTAGGTTTGCGAGTGATTGGCAATCATTCGTAAATTTCGACACATTTCATGAGTTAGGTCATTAACTGCACTCTACATTTCAAATTTGGCGCATGTTTCTTTTCGGTAGACACAATGCGATAGTAACAGTCTGTGCGATCGATCACCAGTCCACTGCAATCTTCCCTGCCGTTTGATATTGGACCAGCCCGGACGCGCGAAACCGATAAACCTGGCGCCTTATCATACCCATCAGCGGCCGGACGTGTAATTGCTTAATAAGTGCTGGAGGTGCGCGTCTCATTTGCATATTTCTCTGCACAGCTCATCGCTTCCCCGATATCTGCGTATTATCATATCAATTGGGTCAAGTGTATTCACCTGCAGCACAGTTTGTGACCACGCCGTTGTCTAGTAAAGTGGCATACACATGGAATCTTTATCAGGTTCGACGTCAATGACGCCTTTTTTTCCATCGGTCAAACTGCTTTAGAAGGCTGAGCGACAGGATCGTCGAAGCAGCGATTTGCTCCGATCCAGACACAGAAGCCAGTTCTCTTTGCCACAAAAGTGTGTGCGTTGATGTGATACTGTCGTGTCTTTTTAGTGTGATCAAGAACCTCGTTGATCTTTAATGTGGTGTTCCTTCTTATCACACTAGATTGTATTCTGTGGCGCATTCCAGGCTGATGCGCAAGCCGTCATCTTGACATTGACAGGAATCGCAAAAACTACCCCCTGCTGTTGAGACAACCATAATGGGAGGAAAAGTTGCATTGAATCCTTGATCTGTCTCGTTCGCCTTTTGGAGGCGTATTTTGTCCGTCAGTCTCCTTAGCGAGAGTTTCAACCGACAGAGGCCACGGAAGATGGGATGAACACTTATCGCTGGAAAAAGAGCTTTATTAGCTTGATCTTTCGGATTCTCACTCGAATCCATCATCAGAGTCAGTGTCAGATAAGGGTAGTAAATCTCCTAGGTGTTGAAGTATTTATAGGATGTAGTTGCTAGGCCGCTACATGTCTATCACAGGTGGCAGCTACCGGGTGCATCACAGCTCGACTGGCTAGGTGTGGAAGTATGCAGTTGCCATGTGGTTGCTATGCCTTGGTATGCTGGTCAAGATTATCGGCTCTCACAGTCATCTCACGCAGTCGAGTTGCTGACGCGAGTTTGACGAAGCAGAAATTCTTGCTAGAGGTGATAACCGCGTGAGCCGCAAACTCCTCGAGTCATGGTTTTCTGGTCCTCACTCAACCAGCAAGCGCAACGAACTTCCCGCTCACTGTTCGACGCCGAGACTTTGCCTAGGCAAGGTAGTTAGCCGCGAGGAGTGCGTACGGATGACTACTGTTCCTGGTGCCAATGTCGGCGAGCCAAATTGCCCAAGAGTCCACACGGATGACGAAATGCGGGCGTCAGCAACTCGACTGCATGCGATGAGCGTGGGAATCGATAATCTTGACCGGCACACAAACGCATAGCGACCGCATGACAACTGCATACTTCCACACCAACTGTGATAGGCATGCAGCGGCCAGGCAACTACATCTTATAAATATTGTAACACTTGGGCAATCCACTACCCTGGACAACTTACTGCCCTTATCTGTCACTGTCCCCGATTATGCATCCGTTCTCGACTGGGCAGTCTGACCGGTCTTTCTACTTGTCCGCGCTGCTGAAGCAGGATAGCGAGGTACATCGATCCCCGCGTTCACCGCCGCATGACTCGTAACAGTACTTTTGGACATCCTATGTTTGAGGTTTAGTGAGAAGTTCGAGTAGAATTGGGTCTCCAACAGCTGTGCGGACTGTTTTTGTTAGGTTGCCTCCCATAGAACTTTGCCTCAATGGAACCTAACCGCAAGGCAGCCCTAGTAAGCGACTTACGATTGCTATGTCAGAGTGCAGTCGTTGGGGGTGCAATGATG